TATATATATTACACTTGTAGTAATTCAACATTACTTTTTTTTGTATTTTAGGGAAGGATCTACAGGGTGTTCAGGGTCTTACTGCTAGACCAGACTCGTAGTAATCTACCTGTTTACAGCCTCCCGAGAGCTGGGATTACAGGCATGCGCCATCGCACCCAGGCTCAAATGCCCTCTCAGCACACCCTGGGGGCAGGGCTGACCTGGCAGGCCCAGAGATCAAAATTTACTTTTTAAAAATACTCCTAAAATCCAATAAAGCAGAATTCTCGAGAGAATCTTCAAGCTTTTATAGCTGCTGTATTTTTTGTAGGCTTTTGAAGAAAAACCAGGATGAGAAAATAAAGCCTAAAGGTTAATTGTTCATTGCCCTCTTGATATTTGGCTTCTTTCCACCTCATGATCACTGTTGATGTCATCAAGAACTCCACAGGCCTGCGAGGTCTAAGCAAGGAGCTAGAATGAGAATGAGTCTGGCAAAGGAGAAGGCCTATCTAAATGCAAAGCAGTGTTAATAATGATGGCAGCAATCGTCTTGCCCTATCTGACCTGTGCTGTTTCATGACATTAGAACTATTTTCTTTAATTTCCATGGCATTTATTCTTGGACCAAGAGAACTGCCATGTTCTAATTCATTTAAATTTAAAGAGATACTATCTAATTTTAATTTTAGTTAACATTTGACTATCTAAACTAATAGCAAGGTATAGGACCATGTTTCAGTGAAATATTACCATTCATCACAGAGTAAAATTCAGAAAGAGAGTTGACACTTAGATATCAAAGACCTGTATTTGGCCAGATAAAACTTTCAAATAAATGTACCTGGATTCCCTTCTTGAACTAACCCTTGTGTTTGAAAGGGAGGTGTGTGTGAGGGGGAGGGTAAACTTTTAGGGCTCTGAAGAAGTCCTGCATGGTAAAGGTGCAGCCAGGAGTTCAGCGAGGTATGGCACCAGAAATTTTATGGCCTGACACTTTCTTACTGTGAGCTGTATAGTTATGGGAAACTCAGAATAAGTTAGTGTTTCATAATTTGTCATTTGGCATTTTACCTAAAATAGTACTGATATGGTGGGAAATAGTGTCTTCTGTATATTGAGCTCCGGGCATATCACAGAACTCTCTTTTGTTTCTTGCAACAAGCATATAAAGCCTTTTTTAAAAAGCTCACTTTACAGTAGAAAAACTGAGGATCAAACATTTTCTAAGGAGGTTTTCTATCAAATACTAAAGCCTAAAAATGAAGCTCCAATAGCAAATTTGAGAAATAATAGAGGCATGGAGAATTGCAAACGAAACTGAGAATTTAAGACATAATAAAGGACTGGGAAAAGTCATGTAGCAGACAAATTTGTTAAGTATTTTCCAGATAC